GTATAAATGTGTACATATATAATTCCTAAATACAAAGTAGAGACTCTTAGTAGAGACATGTGACATAAAAAGCAGCCAAAATCCAGGAAAAATCTTGTAAAAAACCATCTGGACTGTAAAATATCACAAAAATGTCTTGTTCTATAACTGAAAAATATTTAACAAGCTGAAAACTTTCAGCTTTTCCACAATTTCTTTTGAAAATTGCAGTCGTCAGATTTTAAAGGCTGCTTTTCCAACATTGTCCACTAGAGGGCGCCTAAGTACTAAAAACACCTTTATTGATCTAAAGGGTCTTTAAATTATGCCCAAACAGAGGTGATGTTTTAAATATTGGATGTTTTTGACATTTTCTTGTTTCTCACTTAGGAGAAAATTTATCAAGTGCACGTAATTAAGGTAGTGTAAACCAATTTGACAGGCAGAATGTGTTTGCAGTTAACAGTATTTGTTTGCCACTAAAGAACTGTGAAAATCAGCAGTTTTATAATAGACTTAACAAAAAAAAAGAAGCCTGCTAAAACCACTGTAAGAATACCAGAAACTCTGCAGCAGACACAGTGACGTGGCAAAGCTCAAAACTCAACATATTTATAATTGTGGTGTGGCGTGAGCTGACATAACAGGATATGAACAGCACAATTTTATTTCCTTTTTTTATTTATTGCCATTTTGCATGATGTGTTAATTGTCGACACCCTGATCCATGCCTTTTAAAATGGTTTACAACGTTTTAAACAGAGCGTCAGCATTAAAGCCCAGTTCAGCTGCAACATATAACAGAACAAGTCGGAATAGAAAAAGAAAAACACAGATTTGCATTGCAAAGAGTCACAAATATCAACTTTTACAAGGAAAAACATGTCATTTAAATTCAACGTGCTTGTAAATAAAGTATTTTGCTTTTAATGGTGATCACGTTTGTGCTCACAAATTATTAAAATCATATGATGTATGTAATGTAATTATGTAAGTAATTAAATGTCAGGATTCATTGAAATAGCTGCATCACTGTTTCTACAGAAGTGCCTATTTTCAGGGTGAACCCCACCCTGAGAGACCCATTTAGGATGAAAAGCATCAGTCATCTTTAATTATTTTGGTATCAAGTGCGAAATTGCAGTTGTGATCGCCGCAGAGGCTCATTCTGACTTAAATTTCATCCGTCACAGAGAGCGGGGCGACGAACGCGCTCACATCCTGGATCCCGTTTCATCTGATGAGGCAGATGGGAGGATAGGTTTTCTGTTTTAAAATATCTCGGCCTGTTGGAGTCAACAGCTGCAAGCCAGCAGAATCCAGCACCTAACACAGTTATTTGTTTGTCTTTTTCAGTAAGAAAATCATTAGTGGGAACAAAAAAAGTGCTTTAATAGACTTCATAACAACTGAAATGAGAACTGAAACTTTAATCTGCTGCTGAAGGACTTCTTATCTTTGCTTTTATTCAAATTAAATGTTCAGACTGCAGGATTTTTATGTCTCCGTTTGTCATTAAAAACAATCAGCTTCCATTTCATGGAAAAGACCAGTTATTTTTTAGCTTCTTTCATGATTATGTTTAAGAATACAAAAAAAGCTCTATGTAATTTAGCCGGATTAGAGGGGTAGTTTAAATCAAAACCAGACATTTATCATGTTGTTGGTACTTGTGACGATATCACACAATGTTAATAAATCTGTTTGGGTCTGACTCATTCATTCAGCGCTGCAGTCCTGAAAGTTAAAAGTAGGACAGCGAGAGTTATGGTGAGATCTCCCTCAACTCCCTCAGGTTCACAGAATGAGTGCAGCTCTTACTAAAGATGCTATCTATGAAAATCATAAATCAATCATTACAGTAAGAAACAGTAATATAGAGGAGAGCGTAAAGTTTATCAGCTCTCTTCTCGGCACAAAATGTGTTCAGCTTTAATTCATTTTGGAATCGTTTTGAGAAATAATATTTAAAATTCTAATGAATCTGGGAAATAGTCTGCTTGGTGTAGATTTTAAACACAAAAATGGCTTTAAATGCCTCCAATTTATTTGATTTTTTCTAATTTTGCCTCAACTGTGTCATAACTGGACAGCAATTAATCAAAAGAGAATGGTTGTTTTGAAAAATCTTACCTAATACGGTTTGACGGGTTAGTTTGAGGTAAAAATAACTGGTTGGGTTTGTAATCCTGAGCTATATTAAGCAGTGCAGTTTGAAAGCGTTCACTCCAGTAGTTTTCCTGATACATGGATATGCAATTTTGAAATGTGGGTACGCACTCGATGTAAACAAAGAACTTATCTGCATCTTTTACTCAACAAATGTAAACGTAAACACACACAGACACATTAGAACCCCATAAATGTCTTTTTATCAAACAGCTCTTCCATGGATTTCACTATATTTGATCTGTCTTCAGTCACTTTCTGCACATAAACAAATGGTTTTTGGTCAATTTTGCTCACGTTTTTTTTATATATATAAAGACACATTATATGTATTGTTTTTTATAATTTGCTAATATTATCTCATTACTAATCCAAAAATAATCTTTAGGATTTAAACTAGTTGAGTTAACCCTGTAATTTTAAATACCACTCATTAGTATAAAGATAAACAAACTAGTATTTATCCGTAAACACCATTCTTTCTTCACGAGGAAATACACGATCTTTGATGTACTACGCTAGTGTCAAATGAAATAGACGATCTTTGATTTTGAGTGACGCTGCTACTTTTTCTGTGGTGTTCAGAGTATGAAATCCTGCCGTGCGTTCGAGTCGGGTGTTTATGTGGACGGACTCCGCGGTACCGGCTGCCTGACCGACAGAACACCGGTCCAAGCCCCATTCTTTTTTTTCTTTTTTTTTTCTTTTTTTTATCGTTCATACCCACCCTTACACTTACCGACATGCTCCGCTGCAGGGGGTGGGGAGGTGAGAGGGGGGTACGGCCCCTGCTGAATCAGAGGTTAGGAATTTGCATCTGATTGCTGTTTGTCAACCAATGATGTGACTGTGCAGAAGGCTGGAGAGTGTCTCCACGCCTCTCACGGTCTGTGTGTCTGCCTCCGAGCGACAGTCAAACTCTGAAAACACACAATTCACCGAATGCGTGGATTTATCATGCAGCCAGTCACATGAAACCACTTCATTTTTAGCTGATAAGACAACACGAGCCAGCTCTCCTTTTCATCGATTTGGTGCCTTTTTTTTTTTTTAATTTGGTGTGTTTGTGTCCCCTCTGATCTTGAGGGGGAGACCCTGGATCCAAAAAAGACGGAGGAAAACAGGAATGGGTCTTCCTGCTCCAAACTGTGTGAAAATCGAATTGAAGCCCATCATGTGGTAAGACTTTTTTATTATATTTATTTTTGYTATATGTATGATTCTTTGTTGACTTTAAAACCATTTGCATTTATAAATACTGCTCCTCCAGTTTTTCCTCCTTGTTGTTAGAGTTGTAAACTAAAATGGCGAAGTTAGTTCTCTTTTAATTTAATTTTATTTATTTATTGGTCAGATCGATACTACGTTATCAAATGGCAGATCGATAACCGCATAGGTAGCGGATGGACTCAACTGCTGCCGCGAGTCACCCCATGTCCTATACGTTAACCTACGCGGAGTGGAATGGCACTATTTTTTGTGTTTAAACATGATAAAATGTGCATATTTACAAATGTGTAAAGTTAAAAAACACTGAGTCTAAGCTAGCACGATTCACGTAGCTTTAACGTCAACTTCTGTACGTAACACCGTACAAACGACTGACGTTCGAAGTGTGACACTATAAGTTTTTTTTCGTTTTCCTGCAAAAAAAATGGCATAAAATCATAACAATACGAGAGGATTACCTACCAAACAGCGCTTTCGCAACAGACAAACAACACTAAAACCAGCGTAGCTTGCTTTTAAAGGTTTACTAACAAAAATATTAGAACTATCGTTAATTCATTTTAAACACTTTGCTGACGGTCGTGGCGCGTCCGACACACATTGAACGCAACATTTTACCAGGCATAATGTATAGTACAAAGAGCCATTAAATTTGCATGAAAAGTCATTTCATGTGACTGCGGCTACAACTTAAAGTTTGCCCTGTTCATATGTGTCACAAAGGGGGGTCACAGCAGAAACCTGATGGTTGTCTTTATGAATAAATTTAAAGTTTGTTAAAGATAGTTAGAATATTGTGACAAATTGGTTAATAAGGATGAGGAAGAGTGGGTCCAAAGATTAGACTGAAACCAGAGCTGATTTGTCAGACATTAAGTGGCTGTTTTAGTTCCTCATAGCTTTATTTTTTTTAGCTGGTTTCATTGATTTTTATCTCATTATTAACGTTACATTTGTGGTCAAGACTTCATAAACAGTTGTATTTTAGGCTTTAAATTGTCTTCCAGGAATTTCTTGTCTTGTTTTTTTTATATATACCTCTGTGTTAGTGCTGCGTTTTGCCTTTGAAATTTCACACCATGGAATTTAATATCTATAGATGACCAAAGAAATACAGTACGTAGTGATTGGTTTAGGAGAATTGTACCAAAGTAGATGAAATTATTTAAATTATACAGTGAAAATGTAACACAACAATGGAATATGTGCATAAAATGCATCTTAACGAGTTACTGGAGTGATGGACACAAGCCGCCTTCAGTACCACAACATTGCGGTGGGAAGTCTTCCTCTGCGTGACGTCAGCCGACATGAAGTGGGTCAGCAGACTTCTCATCCCAGAAGGAGTTCAAGGGGTCCTTGTAGTGTATTTTGTGAGGAAATTTTCCCGGTTACGCAAAGCTGATAAACCTCACAGCCACCGCCAGAACTGCCTGGCATTTGGCCTTGTGGTTGGTGTTAAAGTTTCTCACCAGGACTCAGGGGTGGGGGGAGTGCAGGGACACAGGAAGCAGGTTTTGTTTTAAAGCCGAGAGTAGTTCTTTGTCTTAATGACCTTCAACATGTGTGCTCTGAAAGCAATTACAACAGCTGCTTTCAGTGGAGCTGCTCGGGGTCCGTGTTAAACGTGGTGCCACGGGCTTTTCCATCTGACATTAGCATATTTGAGAAAAAAAAAGAAATATAGGCTTTGAATTAGCCTAGTATTCTTTATTAAGCACATTCTTCTGACAGTGACACAGTTATGAAAAGTTCCTTTAAAGGTGCAGCATCATGTAGATTAATTTAAGTAAGATTTACTGTATTTTGACGTTGCGATAGTTTTGCACCGAAAACAGGTAAATTCTAATTTCTAATGTCAAATTGTGATAGGTAACAGTCTCTAAAACAAAACATGTATTTTTTTAATTCTTGCACAATCTTTTATATTATATTTTCTGTTTTTATTAGTAGTAGTAGTATCATTGCTAGTTAGTGGTAATTTGTTTTTTGGGCATTTTTCTGGTTTGTAAACTAGTGTGTGAACCTCTGATGCTGCTGTGACACCTGAGTTTCCCCTCAGTGGGACAATAAAGGCCTATTCTATTCTATTCTATTCTATTCTATTCTATTCTATTCTATTCTATTCTATTTCCACGTAAACGTTTTCTCCTCACCATATTTGTTTACTGACACAGACTGCAGCCAGCCTTATGTAGGTCAGTCCCATAACTCAAGCGTCCACTTGTTTTTTGACAGATTCAGCCAAGGGCTTTGTTTACATTGACTGCATACCCCCATTTCAAGAATTCCATATCAATGTGTCTGGACAACTGAACTCTTTCCAGGGGTAGACATAACCATTGTTTAGGTTGTCCGAGACAACCTATTTTCATTTCGGACAACAATATCCTGTCTCCTGGTTGTTCGGTGGACAACCAAGAAAAAAAGACTTTGATTAAAGTCCTCTGCTGTGGGTGTCCATCATTTGTAAAAGTGAAAGGGAGAAAAAACTTGGTAAAGCTGAACAGAACACTAAAGTGTAACTTTTAATAAGGTCACTTACACAGTATACTCCTATTKAAGTGAAAATGTTTGACCAATGAGCAGAAAGAAGTTTATGAATATTAGGTAACCTCTWGATTTTATTAGCAACATTTTTGCTGCTTTACTCCTTGAGCCTTAAATACTCTATTTCAAAGAAGAAAATGAGGAAATTTTATTCATGCAACCTGTCAACCTGGCTAACTGAGAACAATTATATATAATAAACTTTGTCTACAGAACAATATACTTGTTAAATTACATTTTTCTTGAGATTCTTTTGGACAACCAAAATGTTTTGCGGACAACCAGGTTTTATGTCTACCCCTGCTTTCAAGCAACACCATTCGATGTAGCGCAGGATAAAACATTTTTATGCTTTTTTATTTTATCATTTATGGTAATTATTATTATTTTTTAAATGTGACACTGAAGCTTTTTATTTTATTTTTATTTATTTATGTTTTTGTCCAAAGCAAATTTCAAAAAGCGCCTCCTCGCGGTCTCTTTTTGTTTGGAAGTGAAAGAAAGTTTCCRCTGCTGAACTGCAGAACATGGCACCGTCTCAAGAGAGATTTGCTCGCCCTTATCACACCCGCACCCCCGCCGTGCGCCAATCACCTTAGGAAATAAATTCCTCTCTAATCTCTTCGGGTCCAATCTGGCGTGTGGTGTCCCTCCTCTGACCGGTGCTGCCCTCTGCGCCAGGGTGTCCAGTGGAGAGAAATACTGCTGCTGCAAGCAGGTGGGGGTGGGTGAGGGGGCATTTCTGTTGTGATTGGCTCAGCGTGGATTAGAAATGTATGGAAGGCGATCAAGTTCAACGCTTTAAAGGCTTTTTTTTTTGCCCCCCTACTTTTTGGAATGTGTTTAAAGTCGCATGTTGGTAATATTTCATCTGAAGAACCTGTGTTTTCTCAGAGTCAAAGCGACGTGTTGAAATCGTGGACCTGATGTATAAACCAGACGTGTGTCTGCACAAGTGCAGGATTTGGAAAGTTAAACAGCAGTTAGGATAGGAATCGTTAAACCAATCAGGTGTCTGAGACGAAGCAGGTGAAGAAAATGAGCTTTTTGACCAAGTGTGTTAGAAGCAGATAGTGGACAAAGATTGCAGAGCGCCAGTATTGACCGTTTGTCTTCTGCTGTTGGTGGTAAATAATCTAAAGGTGAATATGTCGAAAGGTAAAGAGGTGTCACTCACYATACGTCTGCCAGTATAGAGTATTTCTCTGCACCTGAATAAAGCTACACTCGTCAGCCTGCTTTTTTTAAATTTTGTTATTTGTGTGCGGCACAGTGGTTTAGAGGTTTGCGTAGCTGTTTGTTGTTTGTATATTCACATCTCTGTTTGCTCAGAGTTAATATCCAAATTAAAGGCGGGTTGGGGGGGGGGGGGGGGGGGGGGGGCGGTTGTCATTTATGAGGTGAAATCCACATGACTTCCCGTAACGGCAGGCGCCAGATCTCAGCGCCCAAGGGTGTTTGAAGAACATCCAGGAGCAGAAAGTGTCAGATGCAAATCTCTCGCCTGGTTTTTTTTTTTTTTTTTTTTTTTTTTTTTTTTTTTTTTGCCTTTCAGGCATCACGGCTGAGCGCGCGATGGTCAGCAGCAGTTTGCCACTAAACTGGTTACTCGCTGTAAATTAATGACAGGGAAACATGCAGCGACAAGACCAACAGGTCTTTGTGTTTTC